TCAAGCTGTTTTTCACGATGGTTACGCAATGCCAATTAACTGCCATTTCAGGCCGGGAATGGGTGCATGCCCGACTGCCTGCTCTAATCTTGTTTCCACACAGGTGAAATATGGGGTAGTCACGGATGTGGGGCTTTTATGTCACAAGATGGTGTGAAATGAGCTATGCATGTAAATTCCAAAAGACCGAGCACCCTTTGCGGTTGTTATAACTGTCTAAGATCATGACATATTTCTCAAAAGAACAGTTCATGTACTCATCAGCCGTGGTAACAGTAAAATGGAACTTTTCCGGAATCAGAGTCTGTTAGAAGTGTCCGCATTACACGTACTACTTTTATAAAGGAAATATTTATATAACCAATATCGTCGTTACTGTTGTTGCATTGAGTACCTGCCTGTCTTTGTTCTAAAATAAACAATATTCATTTTTGTCGACTGATGTTAATCTTATAGAAAACGGTGAACCAGAATAAAACCCATGAAGATAACCAGATACGTCCGATCTGGTAAGTTACCATAGCATGGTAAATGTAAGTCAATTAACACTCAACCACTGGTTACCCGTATAACCTATAACCCAGGACTATTAATGACGCAAATTTTCATGTTTCCTGTTTGTCTTCAATTATTTTATATTTTTCATAATGTATTACATATCAAATATAACATAGATTGTACGAAGACAAGTGATTAGAAACTTTCAATACAAATTAAGAATTAGATATAGTACAGCGAAATAATGAATTAAACTGCACAATACATGTGTCGCCCTGCTGGAGCTCGTCAGTTATACTAAGGGTCTAATACACGAAGGCGAGGAAGGGGAATAGAAACTGGTCGATAATAGTTATTGAAAGATTAAGGATTGTCAAGAGTCATTCTGCTGACGAATAGTTTAAATGATTATGACAAATCTTTATTATTTATCGACACTTTTTTCTAACGACTTTTCACGATTTCTTCAGTATCCTAAACTCCTTCTGGTCATGCTACCAAACATACTATGTTGTAACATTGCTGGAGCAGAAGACGCTTACCCTTACGGAACACATTGTCTTTATTAATTCAACGTCGTAGTGGTCTCCGTGAATCTCATTCCTTTTGTCCATATTTTGCCCTTCAACAAAATTAAGACTTAATAATCGTTTGTATTTTATTTGTTGTTATGTAATGTCCGTTTAACAAGTATATTGGATTTTTTGTGTCCATGTTATATGATGACGGTACATGGACCTACCATGTTCAGTCATTGTAACAAAGTGGTCTTTGTTGGGTGTTCATAAATAAAACCTTATTGGAATAACAAGGTGTTTAATATGATATGAATATCATACATAATTTTTGTACACGATTCGTTATAAACCTTACCGCTGTCTAAACTCAGATTAAATGGAATTTGGGCAAAATATTAACAAAAGAAGATTTAAACGTTTACTCCTGAATAAGTACAAGGATAAGAAAACCAGGTGTTCCGGAAGATTAAGCGTCTTCTGCTTCATCGACGACACGTAAACCCTTGTCAAAACCAAATAAGTAACAGCATGTTCTCAAATGAGAACAAGGTATACAACAACGGAACCAACAACGTATGACACAGTCAGACAGAAAAAAGTAACATACGTATCTTCGGTAACATATAACTTATCAGTGGAAACAGTAAAGCTCGTCTGATGTGATAAGTTAAGTAATATACTGAATGGAGGTATATACTACAGAGTGTTATGATACACACACGAGGCATGTTCCTGGTAACCACCAATAAGCTGACAGGGAGGAGGTGAAGCATGATTAATTTTCCTTTGAATCTGCGCAGTATTTATTCTTCTACAGATTTCTGATTAAGCCACAATATGACTATATATATTTCCGTCATTGCTACCTTAAAAAATAATTGATTGGCGTGTAATGCTTCATATTCTTCAATTATTCAGTGTAAAAATAACACCTTCTCATTAAAACAAGTCAGAAGGGTTGTAGTTTTATCGACGATAACCAAATGGGTTGACATGATGGGAAGCCACACACGTCTGTCTTGGTTTCGTTGACAGTCTGAACAAACTGCTGACGTGTTTATCAACATGTCGGCCGGCACATTATAGATATGACACCCTTGACATCACTTCTTATTCGGTGGCATTTTCAATATGTAACTCCAACAACACTTAACACTGTTTGTTTTTGACACATAATGGTTGTTTATCCTTCTCCCCAACAGGTGCGTGGCTTGCGTTAGCATAACTGGTTGACTCGCAAGTCTAATCGCTTATGACAAAGTATACACAAACATGTCATCTGTGCTACGTCTTTAGGTTTAAATCAATACCACCGTGGACACGAATTTACTATCAAAATATTCTTTATACAAATATGGACGATTGTAAGACGTCACATGTTGATTTTCCCCTCCCTTTACCACTTAATGTAATTTGAATTCAAGTGACATGCTGAGTGTTTTTCAATGATATGAAGGCATCAGTTTGCTACTATTATTATCCTTTTGTTTTCATAAATAAGCTTCATATTGTAATGTATTCTGTATCGTAGATATAGGCAGTATAGGAAGGTTTCAGCGAACAAAAAATAAACAAGAAAAATACAATATGTCATACATACTCATAATCCAAACTCAAATCCAACATAACTAGGACAAAATATGAACAAAAAAAAAAAAAAAAAAAGATTTGCACTCCTAAAAAGTACAAGAGAATAAGACTTGAGTATTCTGGAAAGAGAGCGTCTTCTGCTTCATCGACAAACTCATGAGATATCAGTATTCATGGTAAATTTCTTGAAATGTACGTTTGATTTCGCTCAGTGTAATGATGCGTAAGTTTTGTGTATTTTTTTCGTTCCAAAATGATTGAGGAAAAACCAGCTTCTAGAGAATTACCTCATCTTTAGTTATATCCATTGAAAGCCATATGCTATCAGCCTAAAACCCATAATACCGACAGGATATTTACTGTTTAATACCAATTCAGCTTCTTTTCTAATACGATAAGTAAGTCAAATAACAATATATGCTTCGCATAGGATTTTGTAAATAATCGATATTTCATTATTTTTTTCTGAAATAGAGCAAGGCAAACTCCGTTAAACCGAAGATCAAGTTCCATCACCCTTTCAGTATTTTCAAAGTCATGTTTTTCCTTAATGCTGTGGACGAAAATGACTAGTTATCTATAACTATCTGTGTTACTACCAACACTGTGAATATCCCATTCACGAACCTATGAACCACTTCATTCTGTCACGTGTTGTAGATGATATGACGTAAATTGCTATCTTCTTTAAAACATTCAATTAATCAAATGATGAATCATTTCTGACTGTAACTACAGCCCAATCTGTCTAATACGACCCAGGGAATGTCTCACTGATTTTGTATATCTCTATAATATAGGATTTGAACTTGTGTTATCAAAAAGGCACTAAATTCTGAACGATATTTAACCCTATCTAAGTGGAATTCTTATTTGACATATTTCATTAATAATTACTGATGGCTCACTCCTTGCTCTCTGACTTTCAAATTAAACAGACTGTCTGTGTAAAGCTTTTGCATTCCATTGCATGATCGTAAGAGGTGAATTATGTTGGTCTTCAACTGGTCACGAGGTAGAAGGAAATGTTTACTGTAGCAATCAATATGTTTTTCTTTGTTAAAACACCAGGGGTTATTTTCGTCTAGTTCGTTTGGTTTATGATTTTAAAGTAGATTGTTGTTAACATTTTTGTTCAGATGTGCAGTCATGCACGTATTTATCGTCACGTGATAATATAAAATGATTTAATTCGAATAACGCATTAGGACTTTCATAAAGGTCCAGTGTTGTAAAAAAAGATATTTAAAGAGTACTTGATGATAAGTTACTCATTATAATACAAAATTATGGAAATATTTCGAATAATTAGTAAAATGTTCATATAACTGATTTAAAGAAAAGCACACCGAGGCACATCATTTGTAATCGTGAAACTACTTCAGCAGGGGTTTAATACCAAATTCATTAATTTTGTGTAATATATATAATATATATATATATAAACTTCCCTTATCTATATCACCTACATGTTAATCCCCCTTTTACAACACAGTTCGAGTCAAACAACCAAGATCAATGAATCAAAGAATGAGATTTGTATTTCCCGTCCTGAGTCTATTATGTATCGCCATTGAGCTCTGTAATACACATGGTATAACACACGCATCTCGATAGATACACAGGCCATGTTTCAATAATATTCATTTTCTTGAAAGGGACGACCGCAGTGAATGTAGGTTTAGTCAAGACTTGGGTATGAATCAAAAGTATGGGGGGAACACGATTAGAAGTCACTCAAAAGTTCAAACTACAGCACGAAAGATTATATCGGATGAAAAAATACTTGAAGATGTTAATAAAGATCGACATAAAGCTTTTTAAAACCAAACAAAAAAGATGTATATCCTTACTATTAAAATTACACTTGTGAGATAGAGGTTGGGTAGAGAAAAATCTTAGGAATGGCATGTAAAAGGGCCCTTTTCCCTTTGAAGACAATATAATGTAGATAGATGTTAACGTTAGATGCGCCCGATATGTTTCTTCATTGTGAACATTTACAAAAGAAATATTTTAAAACTAAAAAAAATCTTTCTTAATGATGCGTCGAGTATGGTAAGTGTAGTGATGTGTTATCAGGCTCGATCAGGCATCGTTTTTGGGAATGTATGAGGATTTATGACGTTTGATAAAGATTTAGTTTCTTCGCACATTTACCTTATCATTTTCACTCCTTTACTATGATTAAAACACATTTACTTAACACACATAGAGTTATATTACATACTGCAGTGACAGCTCTTTGAAGTTGATCTTCATACGTAGTTACTTGGCCCACCCCCTTTCCTCCTACCAGCCGCACCGAACAGCATATAGATCCTGTTCTTCAGCAGGTCATACTCACTCTGTATTTCCCGATTGTCCAATGTGAACACGAGCCCGTCGCGGGAGCGAGTGTCTGGGTACCTGGCTTGCCTATGCTGCCAAACCACTGTCTGTAAGTAAACCTTCGATCTCGCGTTAGAGGTGGGCGTGTGAAAGGGTGAAATCGTGTCCACGGGCAGTGTCTTGTTAAAGTAGCTACTAGCAAATAGAAAAGTGAATGAAAAAAAATCTACTATTTCATTTCAGTTACCTGAGAATGATAATGTAACCAGCCGAGTAAGGATAGGGTATTACGAGTTGTGAGTCACTCTCTCTCCGTTGTCCTTACAGGTGGGGACAGACAGACCAGCATCGCTCAATGGGACGACGGGCCCCTAACGGACTGACGGTCACAAAACAGCAGCTGCTACAGACTGCCATCGCACCATCGTGACACTGCTCATACTGAAGCAGTGTGTGTGTTAAAGGACTATATCAAAGGAATATTAACGTTTTTTTACTGTAACGGAGAACTTGGACTTATTTCTTTCATATCAACTGAAAGGTAACGTAATCAACAAATGAATATATTTATTATTTCTATTAAATGTCTTGCCCGTTTCTGCCATGTGGTGAAATGATGTAAAACAGGCTTATACGTTATCTAATACAGGCACTGTGCTATGCAGTTGAAAAGCTAGAAAGAAAAAAAAAGTGAAAACATCAAATTATGTAATACAGTGCAGGAGAGGCCCCAGATTGTTACTCAACACCGAGATGTTTTAGGTCCCTCGTCATGGAAAAAGACTGAAGTCTTGTCATATTTTATTAGCGTATAGACGGTTAACAATAGCAACAAAGACATTCTTTCAGTGTGATTTATTGTTTTATTTTTGTCTTCCTTGAACAACTACAAAACACACGTTCTCGGAACAAAGTTTAACTTTGAAAAGAAATATGAACAATGCAGTAAGGCTAAGATAGTTTTCCTCTTCTGCCCACGCTTGGTTTAGAAGACTGTAAATGAAAAAGTGTCGGACGTTATCTGAATTCCGAGGTCACTACGTAGACAAACCTGTTAAGGGGAAGAACGTGCATATTCATAGAACATTGTTAAAGGCCTGCAGTACATAGATTGAAGTCAGTTAAATCTACATGTTGGATCGATAGGTGATTTCTGAAAAGGGATTTACTTGCATTTGAACATCGTTGTAGAGACCCTCGAAAGATCATGATGAGGTGGCTATTTCTAATCAATGTTCTGATGTCAGTGCTCTATCCAGGACAGCCTGCAAGCTTCACGTACGATGGAATAGGATATTTGAGCGATGGTGAATCTGTTGAATGGATTGGAAGTAGGCCTAATAAGCCGAAATGTATTGATATACCTAAAAACTTAACTCTGTGCAAGGGGATAGGCTATACGGAAATGAGACTGCCCAATCTCCTGCATCACGATACTCTTAATGAGGCGATTCAGCAATCTAAATCATGGGTGTCCCTTCCGCGGATACATTGCCACCCAGACACCCAACTTTTTCTCTGCTCCCTCTTTTCACCAGTCTGTCTAGAGCGGACCATCAAGCCCTGTAGGTCACTCTGTGAAAGTGTCAAGGCTGGCTGTGAATCTAAGATGCTCTATTATGGATATTTGTGGCCTGATATGGTCCGATGTGACAAGTTTCCAGACGATTCGGACCTTTGCATAAAACCGCAACACAATGCCACAAGTGAGTATATCATCATTATATCGATCAATTGTATTCAATATATATCGATCCATTCGTATTGATTTGTGTTTTTGATACCGTTCAAGTTCAGCACATACGGCGTCAACAGTATTATCGCTAGTGCTGTTCAAATGAAATGTTTTAATCCAGGCGATACCGATGGTAATGGAATTTGAAGTTATATTAACCGAAGCATACGCAATGCTATATATAGTATTTGTGGCCTGATTCTATTGTATGAAAATGATCCCTCTTTATTTAGAAACTACATTAACCAGAATATAAGTAGTAATATGTTCAGTAATTGTTGCCAGCACCTATTGTATGACAAAGATTCCTGTTGATTTAGTACTTACATTAACCGGAATCTATGTATTTTGTAGTCTGATGCTGTTGTATTACATTTATTCCTGTTTATTAAGTAGTTACACATACAGGATATTTCGTAGTAATGCTTTAGTGTTTGTAGCCCGATTCTGTTGTTTAACGATGATTCCTATTTAGTAAGTAGTTACAATAACCGGATTTTTAAGTATGTTAAGTAACTGCAGCCTGTTTCTACTTTATGATTATGATTCCTGTTAATTTTTTAGTGACATTAACCGGAATATACGTAGTTTTGTGGTCTAATTCTGTTGTATGACAACTATTCCTGTATATATTAGTTACATTAACAGGAAGTTTTATATTAATATTTAGTATTTGTAGCAAGATTCTGCTGTATAACAATGATTCCTTTTTATTAAGTAATTACAATAACCGGAATTTTTATAGTAATGTGTTAAGTAATTACAGCCTGTTTTTATTACATATAAATGTTTTCTGTTTATGTTGTATTGCATTATCGTACTCAGTTATAAAAGTTTTATATATGTATTAATAGTCTGTGTGACGCACTGTAAGTACTTTAATTGCATATTATAAATGCTGATATTCACACGAAACTACTAAAATTCCTTCCAGTGGAACGGCTTGTCCGCTCCTTTTTGCACACGAAATATAGTAATATAGTGTAGAGGATATAAAAGGGTCCTAGGGATATTTATTGAAAGTAACACCTTTTCTTTTTTTAAGTTCTATTGAAACAGTTCTCGTTACCTTTAATAAGCATTAATCACGCGGTATATGAATTATGTCAGCAGGTGGTTTATGCCAGTTATAAGTGGTTTCATATGGTCAATTAGCGATTAGTGCCTGGTTGTAATCCTTATATAATTCACAAGTGGCTTCGGGGGCCACTGAAAGTGCAGCTTCTCCAAATAAAATTGTATTCCGTCATATAATTTCAGAAAAATATTCATTTTTTGCTCTTTTGTGGAAATAACAAGTGATTTATTGGGATGTATTCAAATAATTTCTGGAACAGATGTATCTTTTTTACTTTTGTAATCATGCTATTAAAAGTTGAATATTTATCTGGCAATCGATTCCCTTCAAGGATATTGATTCAAATTCATGTGTTGAAGGAATTGCCAATGTTTTAACCATTCCTTCTATTTATTTAAATACTTAAATGTTAAAAGTTATCGTGGGTGATAGTCTAATTTATTGTATTTATGTTGTCGTATACTTGAAAACAAACACCAGTGTCATACTTTGCTATTCGTGTGTACATGTACACATACACCGGTGTCAGGAGCGTGTTTAATGACTGACCGGGCGTGACATGTCAGTTGTCGCATTGTTCATAAGTGTCGCTCTCATATGTTGCATGGTAACCCTTCCAGGTACAAATACATTTCTTCAGCAAGTAGTTGTGACATGCTTACAGAAAAGATAACACGTTAATCTTCATTAAAACAACAAAGCCATGAAACATATTAATTTGTATCATTTAATCATCATCATAATAACTTCATTAACTTGATTTTTATCTTGTCTCTAATCTATTAGGTTTGTAACAAATTGGAATTTTCATTCAAGAAACTCTGTTGGAAATGAGGTGTAAATCACACTTTTGTCGTTTATGTAGTTAATTCATATTTTCTAAATTCAGACACACCGTTCCCTTCCATTTTTAGTTGTCTCGTGTAATCCTTTTTTGGCACAATTAATGTATTTTAACAATATGATAGTTATGCAGAAAACTACTGGATTTTAAAACAATGCGTGAGGGTTGTTATTAGGTACGATTTGTGAAGTTTACTTGATAAACGACTTGTCGATGTCGTTTGATGTCTTTATAACAAAAAGGCTTGGGATATTCTGTTCGTGATATGCGTATCATTTGGGAAAATGTACTGATAATTGTAAAATTCTGTTATAAAAACAGATATGGTTTGTGAAAGTATTGATAAAATAGTGATGGGCTGTGGAAATATGTTCTTAACATTGCTGTAAATTGTGAAATTCAACTGATAACATGACAATGAATTGTGATATACTGCCATTATGGCTATCAATTATGATATTCAGCAGATAACATGGCTGTAATTTGTAATGTTCAGCTGATAACAAGGCTATAAATTGCGATATTCTGCTGATAATATGGCTATAAATTGCGATATTTAGCTGATAACATGGCTATAGCTGGTGAAAATATGTTACTAACGTCGGTGTATGCTGTGAAAATATGTTGATATCATAACTATGCGTTGTTAAATTCTGTTGATATCATAACTTTTGGGGTTTTCAAATTCCGGTAAATGGTATGATTGACCAAATTAAGCTTATGAACTAGGTATGGCTAGCAAAGTAAAATTGAACTAGGTATGAGTGGCTAAGTAAAGTTCCGGAAATAGGTTTGATCGAAATTAAAACGACGAACTAGGTATGGCTGGTGAAGATAAGTTGACCAACTAGGTATAGTAGACGATATAAAGTTGATGAACTAGGTACGGCGGATGAAGTTAAGTCGATGAAACATGTATGGCTTGCAAAGTAAGGCTAATGAACTAGGTATGACTTAGATATTAAATTTACTAACGATGTGTGGCTGGTAAAGTTAGGTTGACGAACTAGGTATGGCTGAGATGTTAAATTGACTAACGAGGTATGGCTGGTAAAGTTAAGTTGACGAACTAGGTATAACTGAGATGTTAAATTGACTAACGAGGTATGGTTATCAGTGTTACTAGTATATTGATGAAATCAGTATGACTGAAGAGATTAGGTTGATAAATTACATGTGGTTGGTGACATTTTGTTGCAGAACTAGGTACGCTTGGGAAGTTCTCTTGTTGTTGCCCTTTCTTTTCCAAGAAACGCAAACGGAGGCACAAATATCTGGTAAAGAGTACTTCATGGAAATGCGCCAAAATCCAAGAAAGATATGGAGGAAGATATCATATAAGATTATCTTATCTGTTGATGGATGTCACGTTCGTCTCTTTGCTTAAGGCTGAGTTTATCAACACAGGTGACAAAGACCTTGAAAATTCCTCCATGTCAGTATGTGATACATATTGATGTCATCTTGTCTTTAAATAACAAGAAATTTACTGCTGACCATTTCCATCGTAAAAAACAAACACCATAATTGGGATGAAGGACGTGACAAACTTCTTTCTCTTAAACGAAATCAATATGGACAGATTTCACCAAGCTGTATGATAAGCATGATGATTTCAATTCCCATAGTATGATTTTTTCCACTTATGAATAGCAATATCCCTGCATTCCTAACCTATATCCCAAAAATAAGATTTTCAAAGGTTTCAAGAGAAACAGTTTAAGATTATAGGAAAGTCATGACAATTGCATTGAGAAATTACCAATTTCTTTGTGCAATTTAAGGCTGTACGTGTTTAATTCTCTGGTGGTACTGCATTTGTTTACTTTGTAACCGTTTGTGAACGTGACATTACTTTATTAACCAAACTTTAAATGCGGATGTCATCGAGGAACCAGGAAGGTTTCACCCTTCAGGAACATTTGTCCTTGTTTACATTTTTCAGAAATTTCCCTGTAAATGTTCTCATTCTCTATTCTGACACTTTCCTCGAAGCTGTGTTTTAAGTCTATTAGTTCGATTGTCTGTAGTTTCTTTGATGGAGTAGGTATTGATGGATCAATTAAGGTGATGGACTTTCTATTGCAGAAGAAGTTAAGTTGATGAACTTGGTATGATAGGTCACGTTATGTTGATGAAGTAAGTGTAATTGATGATATCAAAATGAAGAACTAGGCATTGCTTATGAGGTTAAGTTGATAAACTAGGTATGGTTGGAGAGATTAAGTTCAAGAACCGGGAATTTTGTTATGGTTAGCGAAGTTCAATTGAACTAGGAATGGTAGGCTAATCGGTCATTTTGATTTATATATGTGAAGCATTATCTATCATATGTGACTTCGTTGTACTTGTAGGGAAATAACCTAGCGTCTGCTACAGAGATATCGCTTGAGAAATTATTTGAATGTTAAGACGTTTGACATATTCAATAAAACATATGGTAATAAGATACGTGTCGTTTCCTCTCTACATCGTTTTTTTTTCATCTGGACTGAATATTTTCCTCAATGCCCTAGGCATAAATTGTGTTTATTTACGTAAGTTTATCATGTTTACAGTCATTGTCATAATTTTCAGTTAATAGTAGTTTACATTTAACTAGTCTCAGGAATGCTTCGTAAGCTTGAAATTTATTAACAGACTATTATGTTGTGGGCTTTATTCTAGAACATCTGGTCTACAACGGATCTCTACTCCACTGTAAAACCACGATATGTACTTGCAAAGTGCAAGCACTATTGTGGAGTGACTGCTCTAGTTTCCTCTCAGCTGGATGTCGCGGAGTCTTTGGGTAAAACGGCCTACCATAATTGACCTAATGTGTGCTCCGGAATCTGCTAATTGTACCTTACGCTATTAGTAGCTAGATCAAAGCATTACCAGTGTTTATTTTATGACAATGAATAGTCTTATTTCCCATATTTGAAATTTCGCGGTGTTATCAAAAGTTCGATGCAAAAGGGATAATAATGATATAGAGTGCTGTTTTCTTTATCAGTGGTTTTATTCCGCTTGGAAAATAACGACATGTTTTTGGCTTGAGCGTTGT